GCCCGTATTGCAGTCATAATGGGGTCTGTGGAAAATCAGCTTCATTTTTCTCTCCATGGTATGCGATCCGGTGCTTTTATCGCTACAGAGGTTGATGACTTAGCGCACTGGTGCTCATGAGAGTAGTCGTTACTGAAATTGGAAAATAGATTTTGCAATGGTTGCATTGATTCGTTTAACATCTCTACACCTTGAGGTCGAAGAATCGTCAATTTCGTTTTTTCTTCTTCATGTGTATAAGTAATAAACCTTATCTGGCCCAAATGTTTCTGCTAAATCGAGTAATGTTAAATGCGAAATGTATACTGACCGTAAGAAGAGCAGGTATAATGTTTGTGATGATATAACGGACAGAACCTGTAGTATGTATCGGCGTAATAGATGTGCGTTGCATAGGGAAAACACGTTGAATGAATGAAAATCCGTTTGAGGGGTCTATGGGTTTTTCGCTGCCGCCCCCCCCCTCACATTTTCGATTCGATTGAGATCATATGATAACATGAAGGGATAAAATTCTTTCTGCACATTTGGTGTGTATTCGTTCTTGAGGTAGAAAAAAGGTACAACCATGGGTATTATGTATATAGGGGCGGCTTATGCTAAAGAATTGTCCTGAAGGAGCACTGCCTTACATTTGCTGTGCACTTTTCTTTCATGTCCTTGACAAACTATGCCATAGTTTATTATGCCCTATAAATGAATGAAAATTCAATGCATGTTGAAGACGATGGCGTAAATAGAATCAGATGCGAAAATGAACGATCTGCGTACCACCAGGAAGCGTCGAACCACTTTCAAGTGTCAACAAGCTGCGACGGTTTCGTAGAAAGATTGAAGATACCTGGACGCCGGTTGAACAGAGCAAAGTTTTTGTGCACGTGAATCGAGCATACTTAATTCACTCACTGTTCACTGGTGCCCCATTCACAATGCCATCTGCACGCAAACATGGGTGCTTGCTGAGAACGCGGGTTTACTACAAAACCGTTTAGCGACTGCGCATCAGTAGGGATTGTTCCGTTGACGGCAATGACAACAAAACCCACAGCATTTCTGTTGTCTGGGACAGCAGTCA